TATATATATATATATATATATGTGTGTATGTATATGTATATATATGTGTGTGCCAGAAACCTAGAAATTAACATGGTTTTTCAACTTTATATCCAAAAATGATTTGTGTATTTAATAGTAAAAATGTAGGCCTAATTAAATGTGGACATATAGAAACAAATCACAAGCTACTTCTCTGATTTATTTTCCAGGACACACACATACTTATGAAAATATCTGGCTAATGAATAAATGTGAATGAACAGTGATAACAGTTGAATACAATTTAATCAAGTTTCTTTGTATGGGAAAGCAGCTCCGTTAGTCTCGAAACAGTTGAATGTTACAGCCAACAGTCAGAATAAAAATCCAAATTTATCGTATTTGTGGGTATCTGACCTGATCGTAAGGACAAGAACATACAACTATCCACATTTCAGCAAGACTTCAAAGGAAAACATACACTGCTTATACATAATTTAAGAGCTAAGCATTTCATCATCGCTGGACATTAGACTGATAGAATTCGTAATTTAGCATAAACATGTAAACTATGTACACTGGCCGTTAAAGGCATAGCTCTTGCCTAGTATTTTTCTTTTACAGTAAGTAGGCACAATAATTGCCTTTTTTTTCTTCTAAAAAGAGAAATATCGTGAAAGAGAAGATAATTTGCATCTCTGTCTTAATGAGTTTGCAGAAGTGACCCCTCTGGATCAAACATGGAAAGGAAAGCGTCCTGCTGTGTCCTGACCTGAATTTAGTTGTCTCTCACTCTTCTACTGCATACTGAATGTTATATAACCTTGAAGGACCAGGAATGTATCCATAACACAGCATAATTTATCAGAGCGCTGCTAATCTAGAGGAGAATTAGATTGTTAGGTTCAGAAGAGAAATTCAGAAAAGATTGCCCTCTTGCTGTGACGCTCATGCATGCACTGCTATTGATCAGGAACTGTGGATTAATAATTTGGTTCAACTGTAATCTGAGGATGGGAATGACCTATAAAGTGGAAGAAAAATTTGCTGATTAAATGATTCAATATGAAATTGACTCTAGATCATTCAAAAAAAGTGCATGAAAATGATACATGTACTTAATTATATTATTTAGTGTTATCTTAAAATCACTGAATTATAAAACAAACCATTTTATTTAGGAAACCAATGTATTTTTAAATAATTCCATAGTATATTCTAAGAGGGAAAAAATGCAGGAAAATTATGAAAAATCTACAGGCTGTTTCTCCCTTGGCAGCCTTAACTGTATATGAAATAATGAATGAAATATGTTTTTGCAAACAACATTTAAATCACAAATATTACTTTATAATTAAATAGATGTTTTTTCTAGTGCACTTTTACAAATGTTTTTCTCTTTCTGCTGCTTTTGACCTCGCAGCTCATGACAGTCGATATTGAAAGGCCTGGAATTGAGCATGTTTTTTGGTGTGTCATCAGCCAATTTGCTTTGTCATGATGTCATTTGTGGCTCAGATGGTTGAAAAATAAAATGTGAATCTGACTGCTCATAAGAAATGATAGCAGGATGCAAGTCAAGGACTTCAAGGGTGGCACCACTCAGGTATTACTGACATTTTTGCGTCAGTGGCAGAACAAGCTATTATTCTGATAAAAGATCAGACAAACATTTTATCTGTGGAAAAATGTGCACCAATTAATCATTCATAATAAAACCAGGAACATGTATTACAAGAATAGTTCACCCAGAAATGAAGATTTGCAAAAAAATGTACTAACCCTCAGGCTACCCATGATGTAGATGAGTTTGTTTCTTCAGAAGTTTCTTCAGATTTGGAGAACAGTTTTGGAGAAATTCCGCATTGCATCACTTGCTCAGCAGTGGATCCTCTGCAGTGAATGGGTGCCGTCAGAATGAGAGTCCAAACAGCTGATAAAATCATCACAATAATCCACACGACTCTAGTCCATCAATTAACATCTTGTGAAGTGAAAAGCTGCGTGTTTGTAAGAAACAAATGTTTTAACTTCAAACCTGCTAAGATATAATGTTGCATACAGCGTTAAACAAATATGTCGGTGGATTTTGATTTGAGCTGACAACAGGACATAGACTTTTTCAACGGAGGAAGCGTTATTATGGATTATAGACTCATATTTTGGCCAAAAGTGATTGTTTAAAGTTGAAACGGCCTAATGATGGATTTGTTTATTACAAACACACAGTTTTTCGCTTCACAAGATTAAGTTTAATTGATGGACTGGAGTCGTGTGGATTACTTGTGATGCAATATCACTGCAGAGGATCCATTGGTGTGCAAGTGATGCTAAATTTATCCAAATCTGCTCTAATGAAGAAACAAACTCATCTACATCTCGGATGGCCTGAGGCGGGTCAGTACATTTTCAGCAAATATTAATTTTTATTCCTTTAAGTACATGTTCCTGGTCTTATTGTGAATTAAACAAGTAAATAGGGTCCATTTTGAATTCACATTGATTTGAAAAAGATTAAAATTGGCAACTTCAAGTGCAATTACCACAATTTCAAGAATGACAGAGACAATTACAGTACAATACAGCAGAATGAATCCTCACCCT